TGCTCTGTATGAGACTGGTTCCATGATATATGTTGAGAATTATTTTATGGACTCATATAAAGTCAGTCTTCATACTATCCCATGTGTTTTTGAGAACAATGTGTAACTAATAATTATTGGTTATGGAGTTCTATGTATATCCCTATTAAATCAAGCTTGTTAATAGTGTTCATGTGCTTAATTTTTTTTTCTCTGCTTGATCTATCAAGTGTTGAAAGCAGTATATTGAATTCTCTCAATGTGGTGATGGATTTGATAATTTTCCCTTGTAAGTCTGGTAATTCTTGCTTTTGTATTTTAATGTCATTTTGTTAATTACATACATATTTAGACTTCTGTTTATCATGAGTTAACTTTTTTTTATATGATGACCGTCTTTATACCTAGCTATATGACAACTTCCTTTTTGTGAGAATATTTTTGCATATCTTTTTCATTACTTTCCATTTAGTCTTGCTGTTTCTTCATGTTTGGATGTCTTTTTTTGAAACACAATAGAATTGATCTTAAAAATCTGCTGTGCCTTTTAATGGACAGGTTTTGTCCATTTTGGCTTCAGTTATTATTTTATTCTTATTTAATGCTTCTTTTTTTTCCTGCCTTCTTTTGAATTGTTGTCATGTGCATGTAAAATGAAGCATAAGAAATGTATGTGTATTCAGAATAAACTGGAAAGTAGTGCTCCAACAAAGGAGGTAAAGCTCAGAGTGAGCAGTGGTTCCCAAACTTGGACTTCACAGATGAGCGAAATTCTCTCTCAAATATAGGATTGCCAATTTTTATTTTGCCAGGCTAGGAAATTAATAAAACAACCACAGTCACAACAAATATCATCTAACCTAATTACAATTTTATAAAAGAAAGAATATTTAAAAACAAAAATTTTAAGTGTAAAAAAATTATCTCAGTTTAAAAGTCATTTGCAAATACATATTATGTATATATTACGTTATAACACAAATACATAGCACTTTACATAATATATAGTATATATGTGTTTATAAACGTATGTATATATAATTTCTGCACATGCATATCTATGTTTGTCTTCTCATTTCACTGAACATCATTGAAAATTTTGACCTGTACCTGAACTGGAGCCCACTGATAAGAGGATGACAGCACAGAAAGATAAAAGGAAATTTCGTGAGGAGGTTACAGAGAACCCTAGGACCCGGGCAATATAGAAAATGGTTTATGCTGGGCTCAGTGGTTCAGCCTGTAATCCCAGCGCTTTGGGAGGCTGAGGTGAGTGGATTGCCTAAACCCGAGGGTTCGAGACCCGCCTGGGCAGCTTGGCGAGCCCTCATCTCTACAATAAGTCAAAAAAAAAAAAAAAAAAAAATTAGCAGGGCGTGGTAGCGCTTGCCTGCAATTCCGGCTACTGGGAAGGCTGAGGCGGAAGGATCGCCGGAGCCCAGCAGGTCGAGGCTGCGGTGGCCGGGAGCGGCCACTGCACTCCAGTCTGGGTGACAGAGTGAGACTCCAACTCAAAAAGAAAAGAAAAGAAAAAGGAAAAAAAAAAAAAAAAGAAAATGGTTTATTAGGCCCAGCACTGACGAGACTCCCTAGGTTGATGGTGGAATTAGGGATCTCTGTCCTCAGTTATTTGGATCTAGATATATCATTATGAAAGTCCTTACTTTAACGAGCATTTTAAAAAATCTTTTTTTAGTTTTTATTTTTATTTTCAAGCTGAACACCTGATTGGACTATAAAAGGCGTTTTAAATTCTATATTCTGTCTGGGTGCCTAATATGCTAATAGAAACTTTTCAAAAACAGCTATAGTTTAAGATTAATTTTGTACTACGAAACTTCCTTACATTTCTCCAGACATGATTGGACATGTGATAGAACATTATAACTTTGCACAACAACAAGCTTTTATGAGTCAATACTCAAACATGTACACATTCGTACATCAATTGTCTAGGTCAGCAAAAAAGCTTACTTGCACACTTCTCTGAGCAAAACCAACTGAACTCCCGAACCCAGAAAGAGCATTCATTTTGGATTCACCAGAGAACCTTTTCTCAGCCTCTTTCGGGTAGAAGTCCAGTCCTGTCGGGATCTAAGCCAGCGCTAGGGCGGGAAAAAGATCTGCCTCGCTCCGGGGCTCTCGGCCGCGCCCTAGGGCGCGCGGAAACGGAAGCTTCCTGCCGGTTTCTGCGTCATCCTCAGCTGCAATTTTTGGAAGACTGAGAACACTGCGAAATTTCTCTTCAGTGAACTGACTTGGCAGCAAAACAGGCCGCCGCCTGTCTCTGTGGCGCAATCGGTTAGCGCGTTCGGCTGTTAACCGAGAGGTTGGTGGTTCGAGCCCACCCAGGGACGTGGCGCGATGTTTTGTGAACAGTGGACTGTGCCGGACTTTCTGTACTGAAACGGAAAACCACCTTATGTACCAAACGCCAGAACCTTGGCCTGGCCTTCGCGCTGTGTGGTTTCCGATCTCCTCCTCAGCCTCTGTGCCTCTCTAGCAGTTGGTGTAGCGCACCCAGGCTTGCAATTAGAGTTTTTAACTACTTCACTACTGATATTGCATTATGCAACCGATGCTTTAGGAGAATTTATCAACCAAAGGAAGTAAATACTAAGCCAAAGATGAATATCTTTCCCGCCAAACCTCTGCCTGCCTTGCCTGTGTACTTCCTAACTCCTGAAATGGGCACTTGGGGTCCTCAGTCCTGCTAGGTCCTATTGGCTGCCAATTCTTGGAGAATCTGTCTCTCTTGACTCGTCACCTTCCTCTCCAGCCTCACTGCCACTTACTTCCATTTGGGTTACTGCATGTTACCTAGTCACCCTAGCTAGTTTTCTTTCCTCTCCTGTTCTCCTCCAAGTGGCCGTCGGAGAGTCCTTCCAAAATATTATGCAGTTCAAACCTGACCTGCTTCAACTCCCTCAACGACTTGCAGAGTCTGAGACAATCTCCTTAGCTTAGAAGGCATTGCCCTTCACGATCTGGCCCTGAAATCTCTCCTTCTCCCCCACTGACTCTTTAGATTCCAACAGAACCAAAATACTTTCTGGAATGGACACTCTGGCTTTTGAATCTTTGCCCACGGACCTTGGGTCTTTCTTCTCTCCTTTGCCTAGCAAACTCTTAAACTCATCCTTCATGACCACACCAAAATTATGCCTCTTCTCTGCAGCTCACTATTCACTCTCTTCCTACTTGCCTGTTATTCTCACTGGAATGAAAGCCTGTCCAGGGAATGATCCCGTGTGGTTCATCTAATATTTTCAGCACCTAAACCAAGCTTGGCACTTCGTAGTACTAAATAAATGTGAGATGACTGTCCAAAGCTTCCACAAGCACTTGTCTCATGTCTGAATCTAATCTAGGGTTTACATATATCCCTAGCTCTACCCGGGCCTCTCCTTCCTGCCTAGCTGTGCCCTTTTCTATCACTCTCCTATCCTATACATCCCATAACTGCTGCCGGCTGTCTCAGCAAGATTTAGAAAGTAAGCTGTCCGATCCATATAGATTGTGGTGAGATGATGGCTGAAAGGACGGGGTGTTTCTCACATACCCAAAGAAATCTCTGATAGAGTTTAGAAAAAAGGGGAGAGGAAAGGTTTTCATCATTCATGCTTTATTACCATGGTTTTCCCATCATCTATCTGAGAGTATCATGCAAGATCTTGTACATTGCTTATTGGAATTAAGAAATGCTCCGTTTAAAGCTTCTAAAACAGAAAGAGATAGCTAAAGCTTTCTTCCATAAGCATCCCCACCCTATTGGTACTGACATGCTGAGGAATGTCAATGTATCATAATTGAACTTAGGAGAGTTCAGTGTGTTTAGTATTGGTTATCTGACATTTATTTAATGAGTGAATAAAGCTATACCCGAATTAAACATGAAAGCAGAAAAGATGGTTTTACCGTCCCTGCCTCTCATTTCAAATTCTTACGACTCTGGTCAACAAGTGTCTTTACTCCTGCCCTTTCCTTCCTGTGTACTTGTGGTTGACTCTTCTCATACTTTCTCAGTTCAGAATTCTGAGATATTTTTGTTTACTCAGCTTAATCTGTGACAGTGACACAGGGTTTATTCTGTGCTTTCTTTTTCAAACCTCCACCCCCATGCCAATCTCCAGTCTCCTTTAGGATAATTTTTTCTTCACAGAATTCAGAAAGTTCATCATCAGTCTACAGCCATACCACCCTGAATATACCCAGTCTCGTCTGATCTCAGAAGCTAAGCAGGGTCAGACCTGGTTAGTACTTGGATGGGAGAAAAGTTAAAAAAAATTTTTTTTAATTAAAAAAGGGAGAGTTAATCATAATGTACTTGCAGATCACTTAATTCTGATAGAGATCCCTTGGAAAATTCAATTCTATCTCCTTCTTGATTTCCTGTTACCCTCCACTGTGGCTTACGTTCTGGGAAGACTGACAGCCTTATCTCTGGGCCCAAATGGAAGCACCTTCCCTGCTCTATCTTGGAACACACTGCTGTTTCTCAGCCATCCCCTTCATTGGTTCTGCGGATTCCCCTAGGTCTCCAGAAGCTCCCACATTCTGCCTGAAGGAGTTTTGGGGTACCCTAAAGGCAACCAGTCCTGCAGCAATAGATGTAGACCACTATCTACTGATCCAAAAGTCTACTTATCTATTTTTTAGGAACAATTTTTATATATTTAAAGGGTCACTATCCAAAGCCTGAGTTGTCACTGCTGTGCGGGGACAAAGAAAGTGATGATTGGGACAAAGAAAGTGTTTGTGTAGCTCCAAGACTTCAGTTCCCCGGGACATAGCTACTCACTGAGGCTTCCCTCTTGACACCTGAAGAATCCAGGCCTTTACTTTCCACCAAAGACCAAGAAAAACACGAGAGTTGAGTGAGGGCCCTCACTCCAGGCTCTGAGTTGTGTTTTTCCTGCTGCTCGTGGAGATGCCTAATGGGGGTGAGGGGGTCGTGAATCCAGAGAAAATTTCAGAGATGCTGCTGCCACTGCTCTTATTTACCCCCATGGGATAAGGGATCATTTGTCCTGGGGGTTCTGGCTCCATTTATAGTTGTGGTTCTCCCAGTTCCTCATTGAGTTTCGAAGGTTTCTTTGCACAGAGAAATACAGTCCTGTGTCCACTACAAACAGGAGTATCATCAGCAGGCAGAAAGTGACTTGGTGCCAAGCTGAAAAGAGTGGTGGATGGATGGCTGAACCTAGTAAGAGAAGTAGAGAGATGAGAAAAATGATGGTCATTAAGGCAGAGATCTGGAACAAAGAGGGAGGTCACCAGTGGAGAGTCTTCCTGACACCTGCCAAGAGACAGGTTGTAGGGATGGTGGGGGAGTTCTGATCTTAGTGCTCTCTGAGTAGAGCACAACTCACCAAACCCTTAGCAACAGCTTCTGTGTGTCTGACAGGGAGTGCTAGCAAGCTAGTACGTTGTAGCTGGGTTTTATGTGACAGTTATGCATTGGTCAGATAATGCTACTGTCTATAAACTGGGACAAGTTTGTGGATTCGTAGTTTCAATTTGTTTAGCTCTTAATTTTGATATAATTCCCAACTTAAAGAAAATGTACCAGAACAGTGTAAATAACTCTCATATACCCTTGTCTAGATTCATTAATTGTTTATATTTTGCTCTATTTACATCATTTGCTCTCTTTTTCTAAGCATTGGAGAGTATTTAGTTCCAATTTAATATGTAATGAAATAATTATTATACAAATTATGACAGTGTCTTGTCAAAATTTCAAAGGGCGTTTAGCTCCCTTTCTACATGCAAACTGTTTACAACTTACTTCTTGGTCTAATCACAGATAGGAGTTCTGTGACATGGGCAAGTCCAGGAACATTATGCTAGGTCTCTGACCTGGAGGCTGGCACTACAGAAACTAGAGGTGTTTTGGAGGTAAATTAATGGGATTCAAAATTCTGTCAGGATGTTGATGCTTGTCTAGTTCTTTCATTTTTCTTAACAGTTAAATATCCAGGCTTTGAAGTCTTTGATGTGACCATAGGGACAAGTCAATTTTTAAAAATTGCTTCAGTGACTTCCAAAGGAAGTCCATATGACCTATGTCATAATGTTGCTAAGGTCCACTATAATAGTCAAATTAGGTGCATGTAAAGAATTGTTTAACACAATATCTAGCACATTGAAAGATACCCACTAAATGTCACTTAGTCTGTTACAGAAGAAATTGGGGTTCAGAGAAACTAAGTGGCTCACTCAGGTCACATGATTACTTAGCTACAGAGCCAGAACCTAGATTCCTAGCGCTTCCTGTGGTAGGTGAGGGTACTTCTGCTGGTTTGGCTCTTGGCTAAGAGGCTTGAATATGAAAGGAAGGCAGGTGAAGATGTGTCAGCATGATAAGTACACATGACATCATGGGTGTGTTTGATGTAAGGTCAGATATACTTCTGGGGGAAGATATGTGGCTTCTGTCCTGTCACACTGAAGAGTGAATGACACCTCGTAGCCACTCCCAAAGGAACAGGCTAAAACAGAATTGCAAACCTACCCAGCAATCAGGGACTTTTAGGGTCTTTGCTAGTCACCAGGAGGGAACCCCATATAAAGAAGAATTTCCTCCCAACTCATCTTCTCAGTGTGAGTGCAGGCTCTACACACAGGGACCTCCAGGCACTATAGGGTTACACATGTCTCACCTTGAACAATGATGTTCACGGTCTCCGAAGACACATTTTTACTCCCAATAAGGCCCCTGCAGAAGTAGGAGCCGTTGTCATTGCGTGTGGCTTTTGAAATATAGTAGTCAGTATTCTGATGGAAATATCTCTTGCCTTTGCCATTCTGTAAATATGTGACCTTACGCACAGGAGTGTTCTTCCAGCTGTGGCATCTCAGATGAATGGGATCCCCTTCCTGGAATTCCCACCGAGGGGCCTGGAGTAACAGCCAACCTGAAAGACACAGAGAGGCCCCAGGCCCGGGAGGACTCAGTGCGCAGGACTCAGTGCGCAGTGCAGAGCTTTGTGAATGGAACATGTGTCACCCAGATTCTACGACATAAGGAAAGCCAGACGGGGAGCTATCCCTATATAGTTCCCTGTAGGAGAAGATTGACCAGACTCTGCAAAAGAACTCAAGTCACACCAAGACTTTTTGTCTGATGGAGAAGAGGGACACACACACACACACACACACACACACGATCAAAGCATACGGTTATAGCAGAGGGACTAAGTAATGAGGTGGGGGAATGCAAAGTTGGGGATATCTGCAAGACTCTTAAGTGCTAGACTGTAATATGACAAGTAATAAGGAGTCACAGCAAGTTCTAGATCAAAGAGTAAAAATTGCATTTGAAAGTGATTATTAGAGCTAGGTACAGTGGCTCACACCTGCAATCCCAGCATTTTGGAATACCAGGCAAGAGGATTGCTTGAGCTCAGGAGTTTGGGACCAGACTGGGTCACAGTGAGACCCTGTCTCTACAAAAAAGAAAAAAAAAAAAACTAGCCGAGTGTGGTGGTGTACCTGTAGTGACAACTACTTTGGACGCTGAGGCAGAAGGATCGCCTGAGCCCAGGAGGTCAAGGCTGTGGTGAGTTGGGATTGTACCACTGCATTTCAACCTAGCCCACAGAATGAGACTTCAACTCAAAATCAAGAAAGAAAAGAAAGAGAAGAAAAGAAAAAGAAATAAATAAAATGATGATTAGAGAAAAAGATAGATTTCAGAAGGAACAGGCAATTGTAGGAATACTGAAAGACTCTTGCAGCAGTTAGGAATAAATGACTGGTTGGCCACAGGAGTAGCTGAAGAAATCATGAAGGAGTACTTCACATAAAAGCTAGGGAAGGGAAAGGCATGACTAGTAGTGCTCAGAGTGGTAATCGGTGGTTTCTGAAGGTCTACAGGGCCTTAGTGAGACCACCTTTATTATTGAACGTGGCCTTCAAGAGAGAACATTCTTATATCACCAGGACACTGGACATTTGTTCTCACAACCATCTCACCAAGTAATCAGACTCTAAAGAGATAACATGAAGTCATGGTTAGGAGAGGACCTGAATAATTAAAAATGTTATTGCCTATAAATATGATAATGACGCAAGAAAATATCCATGAGACAATATTAAGTTAAAAAAGCAGAATGTAAATAGTATATATGCACAGAAATAAAGGAAAGATATGCACTTACATATTAGCAAAAGTTTTCTCTGAAGTAATGGGACCAAGGGTCATTTAAATTTCCTCCCTTTTGCTTTTATATATTTTTGAAATTGACCTCAAGTGACTTTTGTAATAAAAGCAAAGCAAAATTTACTCTAATTTTATTTTTTTTAATTCCTGAAATCCGCTTTCCCAGGTTAACTGACTATAATTTAAAAAACCTGCTACCTCATGCTAAACAAAACTGATAGAACATGTTTGGTGAAGATTCTGTACCAAGAAGGTTTGCCAAATTTCAGGTAATTTTTGTTACTAATCAAGACACATCATTTATCAAAAGAAGCCATGTGCCACATATGTTTTCAGCAGAGAGATGAGTCATTATTAGCATAAGATTATGGTTTATATATACGTGTGTGTGTGTGTATGTGTGTATATGTATATGGGGGGAGCCAAAAAACCTAGAACTATTTATTAAAAATTGTATACTTTTTCTTATACGTTTAAACTTCAGTCAATTTCAAAGTACTCTCCATTTGATGCAGTACACCTATCAAGATGCTTTTTCCACCGTTCAAAACAGTTTTTGAACTCATCGATTTTGATGCCTTTTAGTGCTTCTGCTGTTATTTGTTTCACCTCTTTCACAGTGGCAAAACATTTCCCTTTGAGGACTGATTTTCAGCTGGGTCAACAAAAAAAGTTGCTCTGGGCGAGATCAGGTGAATAGGGAGGGTGGGGCATGAGGGTCAAGCAGTTTTTGGTCAAAAACTCTGAACACACCTGCAGTGTGGGCAGGTGTGCTCATAAATCACCCATCATGAAATGGGCAAACATGTTGAAAGAACCTCCAAAAAAAGTTCACTGAAGCCGAACACAGCCTCTCACAACAATGCTAACTGGTACGCTAAAGCCAATGGGTTTCTAGAACACTTACCTAGCAGGGGAAGCCTGTATTACAAGAGTCCTACATTCCGAAAAATAATTCTGGGTTTTTTTGGGGTCCCCCTTCATAATGTATGTATTCCAGTGGCCTTTGGGGGGAACATTCTCATTTCAAGCTGTACTGTCAGGGACTCAGTGAATGTGTGTGTTTGTGTATATGAGTGTGTGTGTTTTATTGACCATTCATTATGAGCCAGATGTGGCATAGACTGGAGACACCAAGATGCCTAGATACATGAAACCAACCTCAAATAATCTACAGTCTAGACATAGAAGCATACATTCCTAGAAATGATCACAGTACAATGTGATGGGCGCTACAACATGCTAAAAAGAAAGAACTACACGAGCAATGAGATTGGAACAAAGAAATTCCACCTGAAAGAAGTTAAGAACTCATCTCACAGGAGATGAGTGAAATGGCTCCTACAGGATATCAGAAGTTTGCCTGGTGAAGTTAATTCTCATGGTCACAATTTAATATAGATCTCATTGGTTCTAAAAACCAGTTTCTAGAGTCAAGTTCAAGGCAAACTGATAACTTCCAGACTTGATTTTTCCATTGCTTTTTCTTAATAATTCCCCATTTTATTTGGTCACAGGTGGTCATCTTTTGGCTACCTAGATAACTGATATTCCTTCTTGTAACTCTGGAGAGAGTAAGGGCCATGCCAGCAGGGTAGTACAGTCAGAGGCAAAGGAGCCGTGAATATCAGCCACAGAGGCTCAATTCCATGGAACTCAGTTGCAGGTCCACCTCTGTTATGCCCTCCTTCCCCTCCTGGGTTGTTCTGCATGGATATTAATTTCTGGAGTTGTGTAGTACAGCAGTATCTGTGGCATGGCAGGTTTTGACATTTTGCCTAAGGCCTATGTATAGCTAGGCTACAACCCTGATATTACTCAGTGGGACCACAGACCATCTCATCTTAGCTTTATTCCCCCAAGAACATCATCTTCTGGCTCTTCCCAAGTACTGCAGGACTCCTTGTTTCACCCTTTATTGGTAATTTCCCTCTTCCCCTTCACCGACTCACCAAGGTGGACTTGCAGCTGCACCGGGTCACTGAGTTTGGAGAGGCCTGTCTGGCACCTGTACTCTCCACCGTCCTTCAAGCTGGCATCTGTGATGAAGTAGCTTGAAGCCTGGCTTGAGATGGGGTTCTCATTGTGAAACCACTGTGTGGAATTGTCCTCAGGAGGGTAGTCCCCCTGGCATTTCAGAGTCACATTGTCCTTCTCGAGCACCCTGTCCCATAGAGGCTCTAGAGACACCACAGCCTTTGGGAGATCTGCTAAGGAGCCAAGAGAAGGTGGGGTGAAGATAGGGAGGGGACAGGCCCTACACTGCCCTTCCCAGGGAGGCTCCAAGCCAGAGTAAGCCCATGGTAAACCTGGGTTTGCATGGCTTGAGCCTGTGACTCTCAGTCTTAGAGCACCTTGGACCCATTTTTGACCTGCTCCATATCTTGAGTAAAACTGGCCAGAGAAACATAGGATCAAGTCCTGCTGTGCTGAGGGAACTGATCCTGCTAACCCCACACCAGTAGTTTCCCATGCAACGGGCATTTCCCAACATCCTGTGTACCCATATGTGTCTCACTTTATCAACCTGAGATTGTGAAGTACTCACCAATTTGCATGTCAGCTGAAACTGCAAGAAAAAAGAATGAATCAAATATTTAGCAGGAGTAGAGAGCAGGGTGACTGGAGTGTAGAGTGAGTTTAAAACTCCCCTGCCCGCCCCTACCCCAGGAACCCTGGGATATTTTCTCCAAAGGAGAGACACAGATTTTATTTTTATTTTATTTTTAGGGTTGGGGTCTAACTCTGTTGCCCAGGCTGAAGTGCAGTGGTGCAATCATAGGTCACCGCAACTTTGAGCTCCTGGCCTCAAGCAATCCTCCCTCTTCAGCCTCCTAAAGAGCTGGGATTATAGGCATGAGCCATTGCACCTGGCCAGGAGTTATTGACTTTTTAGTGTGATTTCGATCATTAGATTCCCATTCTCTGTTAGAAGAAACTCAGGCGGTGGGAGAGAAATGGATCCTGGGAGAATCAGGATATTCCTAGTAAATATCTTCGTACTGCCTGCTGTCTCCAGTGTGCATGCCTCCTGCCCCACTGTCCTCCCAAATCCCTGTTTTCAACACCATTCCCTTACTCCTTATTCCATGTTCAAACTCACAAATTAAAGGTAAAAATTGACCGGGCTCGGTGGCTCAGCCTGTAATCCCGCGCTTGAGGTGAGTGAATTGCCTGAGCCTGCGGGTTCAAGACCCGGCCTGGGCAACTTGGCGAGACCTCATCTCCACAATAAAGCAAAAAAAAAAAAAAAAAAAAAAATCAGCCGGGCGTGGTAGCGCGCGCCTGTAGTTCCAGCTACTTGGAAGGCTGAGGCGGAAGGATCACCGGAGCCCAGCAGGTCAAGGCTGCGGTGGCCGGGAACGGCCACTGCACTCCAGTCTGGGTAACTGAGTGAGACTCCAACTCAAAAAAAAAAAAAAAAAAAAAGAAAAGGTAAAAATTGAATTTCCCTGAATTAAGTCACAGAAACAACTTCAACCCAAGTCCCCCAGAGAGAGCAAAAATTAAAAGTCATAGAGAAGATCTCTGGAATGTCAGGCTGAAAGAGAGATCTGAGGGACCACCTAGTCTAAGCTCTTCAATTCACACACACAGACACTGAGACCCAGAGGGGTGAGGTAACTGCACTCACTCTTCTTCCCCTCCTGATTATGCCCAAATCAGAACCAGCATTCTTCCATTTCCAGTCCCCAGACAGTTTGTCCTAGGAGCTAAATACAGGGCTATAGACATGGTGCGGGGTCCCATTCCTTGATGCAGGTCTTGTCCCTGGCCCCAAGGGAAGTCTCAGCTGAACCTAGGGCATCTCGAGCTTCTCCCTTAGTCCAGGAGACCCTGACTTACCTAGAAGCAGCAGAGCCGTCGGCAGTAGCAGCTGCCACATGATGTTGCACTAGAGTGGACAAGTCACCACAGATATCCGGAGCCCCAGAGGGCCCTAACTGACTAGAAGGAGGAAGTACATAGCCTTTCCTCCAACCCTTCCCCCACCCATCTGTCACTCACAGGTTCCTTTTCTGAGAACATCATCTGATTCCTGAATTAGAACTCTGAAAAGTAAGCCCCACAATAGAACAGGAGCAAGAAGGGAAGAGCCTTGAGGGGAAGCTGAAGTAGGTCTGTCCCCTTTGCTTCATACAGGTCTGCAGCTGAGCATCTGGGGACATTGGCAGCATTTGTCAGAGTGCACCCTCGGCAATTTCAGGATGTTTGCTTCTACCTCCTGGGTTTGGATGCACCCAGCACCAAGAATGGGACAGCCTAACCCTGGAGATGAGGGCTTTCTTCATTCTACCTCAGGATTTCTCACTGTCCTGCCTGGCCCCAACCCATCACCATCTAGCCCAGAGCCTGCCTGCATCCAAAAAGTAGTAATTTCAAACCTTCAGACCACTAAAAGTATCTCTGCCTCAATTTGATGTACACCCATGCTTTCTTTCAAAATTCAAAATGCATGCCCCTGGGATATTATTTCCATAAGAGGAATACGGACTTTTTTTTTTAATCTTATTTTTACAGGTGAGGTCTAGCTCTGTTGCCCAGGCTGAAGTGCTGTGGTATGATCATAGCTCACTGAAATTTCAGGCTACTGGCCTCAAGTGATCCTCCTACTTAAGCCTTTCAAAGTGCTGGGAATAAAGACATGAGCCATGACGACTGGGGCCCACAGTTTAGTGTGATTTTGATCATTAGATTCCCATTCTTTGTCAGAAGAAACCCAGGCAGTGGGGTGAAATGGCCCTTGGGAGGAAGGAACACCAGAGAAAGACTGAAAGGAACACAGAAAATGTATGGGGAAGGGAATGACGGCTTGAGGTGAGGACAGGACCTCAGGCCTGTTTACCTCTGATCACCACGGCATTACCAGGGCTGTGTTGAGCTCTACCAGTATACCTTAGCTCGGCCCCTCAGCCACTGCGTCTGGGCTGGTCTGTCAATGTAGTAGCCAGGGTTCCAGGGTTTCTTACCAGAAAAGGTGGCAGTGGGTGTTCAGGAAATGGGAAGATTGTTAACCCTTCTCTCTCCAGGTCCTCCCCATATCTCCACTTTGTTGGCTCTCATCAGTCCAAGTCCCAGAAAGAAAATCAAATGACTCTACTTGGTAGTGCTACTCCCTCAGCAGATTCCTGGACGTTGGGGCAGGTCTCACCTGGCTTGGAAAAATGCAGAAGGTGAGCAGCAAACAAGTGCAGGTACATGATCCTTGGCAGGGGTGGCATGGAGATAGGGGCTGGTACAGGTGCCCACTGACCACTGCTTTGGACCAACTTCTAGAATCACTCCAGAATCACATAAAAACCACTACTTAGTTTTGTTTTGTTTGTTTTGTTTTGCCCTGTGTGGAGTTAATTGATCCTCTCCCCATTGCCATCCACCTAGTCCCCCAACTCTCTCTCTCTCTCTCTCTCTCTCTCTCTCTCACACACACACACACACACACACACACACACACACACACACACACACACACATACTTATTTTCTTGCAGCAGCCCCTCCTCCACAGGCCCTTGGATTCAATGTTGGGGTGGACAAGACAGTCATTCTAGTGCTCCATCTCAGGTGATTAATTTACATATTGCAAATTCCAGACTAATATCTGGATAAAGCTCTTTGCTGAAGCACTTCAGATGCTCATGTGGGAAGCCTAAAGCAGAAGCGGTGCCTTTGGGGCCATGGACCACCTCTGAGGCAGAAGGTGAATGTCCTTCAGTTCTCTCTAGTCTTTACAATCATCTAAGTAGCTTTCTGCCATGTGACTTCTGATCCCAGGCATTCCCTTAGATTTCCTTCTTTGAAGTTTTAGTTTTTTCTCTGATTTTTCTTTTTTAATAAGACTCTCATTCTGTTGCCTAGGCTGGAGTGCAGTGGTCTCAGCCTCCTGGGCTCAGGTGACTTTTCTACCTCAGCCTCTTAAGTAGCTGGGACTACACGTGTATGCCACTACACCTGGCTAATTTTTTTATTTTTATTTTTGTGGAGATGAGGTCTTACTATGTTGCCCAGGCTGGTCTCAAGAAATCCTCTTGTCTTGGACTCCCAAAGTGCTGGGATTACAGGTGTGAGCCATTGCACCTGGTCTTCTGACTCATCTTTTGTCTGCAGTTCTCAAAGGGAGGGAGGAATTGTTAGCTGCAGAGAGGGTAGGCTAGGCAGGAAGAAGAGGAGGGACAGCGCAGGAGAGGAGAAAGGGTCCGCAACAGCATGGGAAGCATTCAGTAGGTTGTTATTAGGTGCTTGTTAAACAGTTCTCAAGTTGAGTGTCGTTGGGGTTGTAAGGGATAATTTTACAATGATGGATAAAATGCAAAAGTTTTACAGAGGGGCAAATGGGCTTGGGGCACATTATGTTGACGTGTTTGTCTTCACATTTGCCTTTTCTCTCTTTCCCTCTCCCTTTCTTCCCCTCCTCTTGTTCCCTCCCTTCCTTTCCACATTGGAATGCCAAGCACAGCATAAGTTTTTGATTACAGAGGTCAATTGGTTGTCATCCTCTGGGGCTTACCGTTTCGTAGGAGAAGATAAGTGTATGCACAAAGAGGGCAGTGGCTTGTTCTGTCTCGGGCAGTACTCTACCTGGAAGAGAGACCACTTTAATTGGGTCACAAAAGATAACGATGTGTTCAGCAGGGAGATGTGGAGGCAAAAGGAGTGGCGTGAGCCAAGACTTGGAGTGGAATGGACTGGTGTGTTTGCAGGGTGTCGCTTCCAAGTGTGGTGAGTACCACAAAGGAGAAGCACGGGCTTCCAAGGGCTTAAGACATCAGAGTCTCAGATGAGTCTGGGATGCAATCCCAACTCTTATTTCACTTCTCTAGGCCTCAGTTTCCTTATCTATAAAATGGGGCTACAATAAAGGTACTAGCCCCATGGAGTTATTGTGAGACTAAAATGAGAATGCTGATGAAGTTGTTGGTTCCTTCGCTGGAGCCATGCCTGTTGCTTACTACAGAAGTGCAAGATGAGAGTTTGAGGCCTTCTTTGGTTTTCCACATTAGGTTGTGAGGCCCCCCACTCCCACCAGCTCCTTTAGAAGCTTGTGTTTTCCTTTGTAAAATCATCACTTTTGTGAACCGAAAGGTCTTGGAGGACAGGAAATCGGTTTACTTTGTCACATTGTCTACCCAACATTCAGCACAGGGGCTGGCACATACTAGGCACTCAAGACATTGTGAAGGGCGCTGTATGTCAGGGCGAACAGTACATACTTTTCTCTGAAAGCTATTGGGAACTAGTAAAAAGTTTTGTTTTTTTTTTAATGATAAAGATGTGAGGTACAATTCAGGGTTAGGTATACAAACCTATGCAGGTACCCTTGTTGCAGTAAAAAGTTTTAAGCTGGAGAGGGACATGACCTGTTTTACATTTTATAAAAATGACTCTGCTAGCAGCCCAAGAGATAAATTCGAGGAGAGAGGATTGAGGATAGAGGGGAAGGTTGACACATTATTTCAGCAACCCAGTTGAGAGACAGGAGATTCTGTTTAAAAAATGGAAATGCAATGGAAGTATCTAGGTGAGATGTTAACAAGGAAGAATGGGTAAGACATTGGTGAGTGATTGAGAGGTGTTGGAGAAGGAATCTGGGTGACATTCTACTGATTTGGGTAATTAAGAGGATGGTAGTACCTTCCATGGGTGTAAGAAATGTAGGAAGAGGAGCAAGCTTTGGGAGGGGGAGAATTTCTCCGTTTTTGACATTATTCAATTTGAGGGAGTTGTGAAGATTTCAGGTGAAGATGCCAAGAAGAAGGTGGTTGGATATATTGCCCTGGAACTCAGAAGACAGATCAGAGGAGAAGATTAGACAAAAGACAGAATTTAGGAGACTCCAATGTGGTTGATGTTTTAAACTTCTGCTAAAATCATGGGTCCCTATTCAAGAAAAATGCAAATAGACACATCATTTTTCTTGTTTTTTTTTTTTTTTTTTTTTGGTTTGTCTGTGTGAGTCAGTGTCTCACTTTGTCACCCCAGGTTGGAGTATAGTGGCATGATCACAGCTCATGCAGCCTGGACTTCCTGTGCTCTGTTGATTCTTCCACCTCAGTCTCCTGAGTAGCTGGGATTACAGGCAGACAGCACCATGGCCGGATAATTTTTTTGATTGTTTTGTAGAGGCAAGGTCTTGCTATGTTGCTGAGACTGGTCTCTAACTCCTGGCTTCAAGCAATCTTCTCACCTCAGCCTCCCAAAGTGCTGAGATTACAGGCATGAGCCACCATAACCAGCCTTCTTATAATTCAAGAAGTTCCATGTAAATCCACTCAGAGATCTTAGCTTAAAATAAAAATGGATACGATCTCTCCAACTTTGAGTGAGAAAATAAGGAGGGCAGTAAGAGAAAAGAAAGAGGGGTCAGGAGGGAAAAGAGAAGAGGAAAGAACCAATGATAAATACTTGGCCCACAGAAATTTTCAGAGTGTGCAAGGAAAAATAGCTGACAAAGGAGTTTGGAGAGGAAGGGCTAAAAAGGGGAGAACAGGGAAGCTCAGGGAGGACACATCTTCAAGTAGGGAGTAGTCAACGCTGTAGAAACGGGTTCAAAAATAGTTCTTTCAGCTGGGGTCAGTGGCTCAGCCTATAATCCCAGCACTGTGAGAGACCAAGATGAGTGGATTACCTGAGCCCGCAGGTTCGAGACCAGCCCAGACAACTTGGCGAGATCTCCTCTCTACAGTAAATAAAAAATCAGGAGGTGTGGTAGCGTGCCTGTAGTTCTGGCTACTTGGAAACCTGAGGCAGAAGGATCACTGGATCCCAGCAGGTCGACGCTGGGGTGACTGTGATGGACGTGAGGGTGCCAGTGCATTCCAGCCTGGGCGATGGAGTGAGACTCCAACTCAAAAAAAAAAAGTTCTTTCAATGTGGCAATCAGGAAGGTATTTATGACTTTGCCAGAGCAATGTCAGGGGTTGGGCCTGGGAAACAGAAGGCTGAGAGCTTTTGGTTGAAGACTGAG